TCAAGAACAAACTTCCATTCACAATTGCTACAAAGAGAATAAAATACCTAGGAATACAACTAACAAGGAATGTAAAGGACCTCTTCAAGGAGAACTACAAGCCACTGCTCAACAAAATAAGAGAGGACATAAACAGATGGAGAAACATTCCATGTTCATGGTTAGGAAGAATCAATATTGTGAAAATGGCCATACTGCCCAAAGTAATTTACAGATTCAACGCTATCACCATCAAGCTACCAATGACCTTCTTCACAGAACTGGAAAAACAATACCTTAAAATTCATATGGAACCAAAAGAGAGCCTGCATAGCCAAGTCAATTCTAAGCAAGAAGAACAAAGCAGGGGGCATCACACTTCCGGACTTCAAACTATACTACAAGGCTATAGTAATCAAAACAGCATGGTACTGGTACCAAAACAGAGATATAGACCAATGGAACAGCACAGAGGCCTTGAAGGCAACACAACATATCTACAACCATCCGATCTTTGAGAAACCTGACAAAAACAAGCAATGGGGAAAGGATTCCCTGTTTAATAAATGGTGTTGGGAAAACTGGCTAGCCATGTGCAGAAAGCAGAAACTGGATTCCTTCCTGACACCTTACACTAAAATTAACTCCAGATGGATTAAACACTTAAACATAAGACCTAACATCATAAAAACCCTAGAAGAAAATCTAGGGAAAACCATTCAGGACATAGGCATAGGAAAGGACTTCATGACCAAAACACCAACAGCATTGGCAACAAAAGCCAAAATAGGCAAATTGGACCTAATCAAACTCCACAGCTTCTGCATGGCAAAAGAAACAGTCATTAGAGTGAGTTGGCAACCAACAGAATGGGAAAAAATTTTTGCAGTCTACCCATCTGACAAAGGGCTGATATCCAGAATTTACAAAGAACTAAAACAGATTTACAAGAAAAAAACAAACAAACCCATTCAAAGGTGGGTGAAGGATATGAACAGACACTTTACAAAAGAAGACATACATGAGGCCAACAAACATATGAAAAAATGCTCATCATCACTGGTCATTAGAGAAATGCAAATCAAAACTATATTGAGATACCATCTCATGCCAGTTAGAATGGCGATCATTAAAAAATCTAGAGACAACAGATGCTGGAGAGGATGTGGAGAAATAGGAACACTTTTACACTGTTGGTGGGAGTGTAAATTAGTTCGACCATTGTGGAAGACAGTGTGGCGATTCCTTAAGGACCTAGAAATAGAAATTCCATTTGACCCAGCAATCCCATTACTGAGTATATACCCAAAGGATTATAAATCGTTCTACTATAAGGACACATGCACCTGAATGTTCATTGCAGCACTGTTTACAATAGCAGAGACCTGGAACCAACCCAAATGCCCATCGATGATAGACTGGACATGGAAAATGTGGCACATATACACCATGGAATATTATGCAGTCATCAAAAACGATGAGTTCGTGTCCTTTCTAGGGACATGGATGAAACTGGAAACCATCATTCTCAGCAAACTGACTCAAGAGCAGAAAATCTAACACCGCATGTCCTCACTCATAGGCGGATGTTGAACAATGAGAACACATGGACACAGGGAGGGGAGCACTACACACTGGGGTCTGTTGGGGGGAAATGGGGGAGGGACACTGGGGGGTGGGGAGTTGGGGAGAGATAGCATGGGGAGAAATACCAGATATAGGTGAAGGGGAGGAAGGCAGCAAATCACACTGCCATGTGTATATCTATGCAACAATCTTCCATGTTCTTCACATGTACCCCAAAACCTAAAATGCAAAAAAAAGAAAAAAAAAAAAAAAAAGAAACCCTTGAAGAAAGCCTACGCAATATCATTCAGAACATCTACATGGGCAAAGATTTCATGACAAAGACACCAAAAGTATTTGCAATGAAAGCCAAAATTGACAAATGGGATCTAATTATACTAAAGAGCTTTTGCACAGCAAAAGAAACTATCAACAGAGTAGACAGACAACTTAAAGAATGGGAGAAAAATTTTGCAAACTATACATCTAACAAAGGTCTAATATTCAGCATCTATAAGGAACTTAAATTTACAAGAAAAGAACAACCCCACTAAAAAGTGGGCAAAGGACATGAAAGTGTCTACTTTTTAAAAGTGTCTACTTTTCAAAATAAGACATACATGCAGCCAACAATCATATGAAAAAAAAGCTCAACATCACTGATCATTAGAGAAATGCAAATTAAAAAACACAATGAGATACTGTCTCACACCAGTCAGAATGATAATTATTAAAAACTCAAAAAATAACAGATGCTGGCAAGGTTATGGAGAAAAAGAAATGCTTTTATACTGTTGATGGAAGTACAAATTAGTTCAACCATTATGGAAAACAATGTGGTGACTCCTCAAAGACCTAGAGACATAAATAACATTCAACCCAGTCATCCCATTACTGAATATATAACCAAAGGAATATAAATTATTCTATTATACAGATGCATGCATATGTTCATTGCAACACTATTTACAATAGTACAGACATGGAATCAATGTAAATGCCCATTAATGATAGACTGGATAAAGAAAACGTGGGACATATACACCACAAAATACTATGCAGTTATTAAAAAACAAAATAAGATCACGACTTTTGCACGGACGTGGATGTCGCTGGAGGCTGCTACCCTTAGCAAACTATTGCAGGAATACAAATCCAAGTATTATACCACATGTTCTTACTTATAAGTGGGAGCTAAATGATCAGAACACATGGACACATAGAAGGGAAGAATGCACGCTGGGGCCTACCAGAGGATGGAGGGTGGGAGCAGGGAGAGCATCAGGAAAAATAACTAATGGATACTAATTTTAATACCTGGGTGATGAAATAATATGTAAAACAAACTCCCATGACACACATTTACCTATGTAACAAACCTGCACACTTACCCCTGAATTTAAAATAAAAGTTCAAAAAAAAAGTATTTCAAGGAAAATTTGTTCTTATTGAATAAAGAATAATTTTGTGAAAAAAAGAGGCTCAACCGAAGGTGACAGAAGAGTTCCCAAATAACAGCCACCTAAACAAGTTAGTATACATCTTGCTCACACAAAATTATAGGCTTGGCCCTCCAGGTTTGCTGTGGCAGTTCTGCTTCATGAATCCACACTCCCCCAGCTTTAGTTAGCGCACATCTCATTTACCAACAGTCACACAGAGCTTCTGGAGCTTCAGGAAACACAAGTGCATCTAAGCTGTAGGAATGAAACAGGAGTAGAAAGAACAAAAGAAAGATTCTCTTCTATAAGGAAAGACCCTGGAAGTCACGGGCAAATAATCATGCCTTTATCTCACTTTCCCAAATTTAGTTCCATGGTCCCATTGACCTACAAGGGTGGCTAAAAAATGTAGTCTTTACATGGATGATAATGTTATCAGCTGACTATGTGGAGTTCTAAGGAAAAATGGGAGAATTTATATTAAAAAGAAACTAGGATTCTTTGATACACATAATACTCATTCTATAACAGTAATAATTTCTTTTTAAGGAACTCTTATATTAACAAGAAAAAACTTGGGAAATGCAGACCCTGAACACAACATGAATAAGTAATTCAAAGTAGGGAAAACTTTATTGGATTAGAAATATGTGAAGAGCAACTCAGAAATAACAGTGACCTAATAAGTGACTCAAAATAACATTTTATATCTGTTTATTAATTTTAGAAATTTGGATTATGCCAAAAATTAGTGAAAATGTGAGAATATGGGCACGTTCATATTTTATTTCAAGGATGCAGACTCATTTGGAGATCGTTTTCTTAGTACTTAGGGAAAATTGTTATGTGTGTACTTTATGTCCTGACCATCACATCCTGGGTATATTCCCCCCATTAGCAGTCACAGAAGTCTATCAGAGGACATTTTTCAAAGATCTTAATTGCAAAATTTTATTCTACTTCTAATTGTACTGAATTTAGATGCAGATTTTATGTGTAAGATACGGAACAGCTATTATAAACAAATTCATGATGTAATATGCACATATGAACTATATATTCCACATGAAATATATGCTTGTGTACATATGTACACAATACATACTCATGAAGCACTATTTGTAGGCTTAAAATGATGTGCAAATACATTAAGGATATTCTAAGAAGCAGATGGCTGTGTATAAATAACTAACTTACTTACATATATTTAAAAGGTACGTACACATGGCTGGGTGTCGTGGCTCATGCGTGTAATCTCAGCACTTTGGGTGGCCCAGGACGGGGTATCACTTGAGTCCAGGATTTTAATATGACTCCAGACAGCATGGTGAAACCCCATCTCTACTAAAAATAGAAAAATTAGCCAGGTGTGATTGCCCTTGTCTGTAGTCCCAGCTACTTTGGGGGCTGAGGTGAGAGGCTCACTTCAGCCTGGGAAGTCGAGGCTGCAGTGAACTGAGATTGTGCCACTGCATTCCAGCCTGGGTGACAAAGTGAGACGAGCCTGTCTCAAAAATAAAAGATACACACACAAAGCACAGCATTATATTATTTTTAGACATCTCCAAGGAAATATATCAAGTACGCAAGAAAAATTAGAAAATTCAAGTGAAGGTAAAAAAAGGGTGGAAAATAAATAAAGTAGAGAAAAATGAGAGGTGACTTCCAATGACAAACTGAGATGTTTAACTCAGTTCAGTGCACTATTTCTTCCACTCTTACACTTAACAGGATAAAAAGCCATTCCTAGCATTTCACTGTTACGAACGCTTCAAAATGGGATTCTTGTCCTGATTATTTTAGGTTGAAAAATTTATACCAGAAGAGTGGGCTTTGTAAATCAGTGTCTTCATGATAGGTTTCCCTAAATAGTATGTCTTTAAAATATTAAATTGTATCCCTTGTTTGTCTTTTCTTTTCCACAAGCAGATGAAACTTCCTCCTCAACAAGCAGATGAAAGAACTTGTGCAGTGTTACTTCAGGGAAGTGACATGGCACAGTAGAAGTAAAATGGACCTGCACATTTTAAAAAATGTTTTGTTTTGGATCTTGGAGGGCCCAATGGGCTAGTAAAGGAGAGGAAGGGGATGGAGTGTGAAGTTGGTAAAAGTGGCGGAAGCTGGCCCGGCATCCTAGAGGAGCAGGAAGAGAGTGCGTGTTCCACTTTCCACTCTTCCCCACTATTCCACAGGGTCTGATGGAGAAGAGCAAAGGGATCTCTCGTTCCTAGGAGAGGGCCTGGGCCAAACTTTTTGATGGAGACAGCTGGATAGTGAGTGTCCAGGCAGACAGGACTGAGGCTTGCCTTATAGAAGATTCTCATCATTCAAGTGAGCTGCAGAAGCAGCAGCGAACCAGCACTTCTGAAGGGAACACCTGAGCACAGCTCATTCTTTCCTGATGAAGCTTTGTTCCCGAGGGGTCCTTGCAATTAATAATTCTCTTTCTGCCAAAGAAAACTTGGTTCCTGCATATTTACTGTGAAGGCACGTGATGACACTACAGTACTCCAGGGAATCATCAAAATCTGTACTAAAGATCCAGAGCAGAGGTGGTGGGTTGCTGAGTGACTGCTGACAGAGGCAAGGTCAGTAGGGTCCTTGCAAATATCAGGGTCTTGCTATTCTCCAATGAGGAGGAGGGAGATTCCAAATAAATGATGGCTATCACCCAGACCTCTTCCCCACAATGCTCATGCAGAGGGAATGGGGCAGAAGAACCACTACCTGCCTAGCCACTTACTTACCTCTGATACTTGCTTTTATCCTGTGTGTCCCACTCCAGCACTGATCATTAACCTCCAGGTGCTCTAGGATACAGCAGAGAGAGTTGCTGGCTGCACTGCGGGGAATAGGGATGCCAAAAGCCTGTGGAAGCAGGTAACATCATGTGGCCTTCCATTCAAATCCTATCTGGTCTCTACTTCTATGAGATTTGAAGAACAGAAAACACAAGGCTTTTTGTAGGGCCACACACTTCTCAGCTAGCCTTTGAATGCAGAAGCCAGCTGAGAAGCTAACAGTGCTCCTGACCAAGGCCAGATGCCCAGCTTCAGGCCTCAAGGCTCTCTGTAGCTTCCCGGCTTGTGCATGTGCCATTCACATCTGCCACAATAGCCTCATATCACCACACAAGCCAGGCATTATCCATCCACCTGGGTGGTAGTGTCAAAAAGACTTACTCTGACTTGCTTTTCCTTACCTGCCACCTATTTTGGAGCTAAAAGGCCAGAATCCTGCTTTCTATGTTTTATACAGATGGAAGAAGCTCATACACTTGGCTCCCAAAACACCTCCCTGACACTTAGATGTTCTTTAGGCCTGCCGTGTAGGGATGTCTAGATCCAGATGAAAAGGCCACAAGTTTACTCAGGACTGGGTGACTTCATTGTCTGAGGCCATTTTCCTGGCTCCTGAAAGTTATAAATGGTCCTCAGTGCAGGCCTTCCCCAGCTTCACTGTCCCTCCAGCATTTGGTCCTCTTACTTCAGCCATGTTTACACTGCCCATCCTGAAGGCTCAGACTTCATCTTTCTTGCGCTCTGTGGAAAGCCTCTTCTCTACTCACTTGAACTGGAACTCCATGCATATACTTAAGGTCTTCAAAAAAAGAGCCCCTATCCTGATTGCCAGATTCTAGGGATATGGACAGCTTTTGCACTGGAGGGTGGTGGCAGCTGGGCGGGGTCTGGTTAAAGGGTGCTGGTTTGGTGTTGGCCATCAATGCAGGGTCACATGGATATGGTAGAGAAAGACTCCTATAGCTTTTGCAGTTCCCTTTACTGTCAGTAGGTGGCAAGAGAGCCTAGTGGCCTCTAGCATAAATGCATTTACATCAGTGTCTGTGTATGTGTCTGTGTTTGTGATTTATGTTTGTTTTATATGGATATATATGTATATATAGTTGTTTATATGTATGCATACATATATGTAATTAGATTTGCTATCTATATTTATTTATGAATAAATATGTTGCATGGGCCAAGAACCAACTTCCACTTACCCTGTAAAGTGATGCTGAAAATCAACCCACAAAGGGCAGATTAACAGAAAGAAAGGCATGCATATTTATTAATGTGTATGAGTCACACAGAATATAAAAACTCAAAGGCAAGATGGCTGATGCTTTTATAATATCTAAAGGTCACAGCAAGAATAGGTGCTTGGATAATGGCATCTGTACATTGGACTTCACATATCAGGTCATTTCTTCTTCTGCTGTTTGAGAAAGTTGAGCCTAGGGCTCTCTGTAGCCACCAGATTGCACATGGGCCATTCACATCCACCATGGTGACTGGCCTCACCCCACAAGCTAGGCCCTAGTTAGGTGACAGACATCATCCATCCACCTGGGGTGGCAGTTTTCAACCATCTGCCACTGACCTAGTTTTATTCTCCTGTCCTTTACATTTGAGTGCACAAGAGTTTGTTAAGTCAGCCTCTTGTTTTCCCTGCTTCTTGTGCTTATGGCAAGGACACAGGAACCTGGTATACTGTGTGCCTCCAAGTTGATGTTCTTCAGGGCTGCCCTGTAGGATTCTCCAGATGCAAATACAACCAACCAGAACAGACTTACCCAGGACGATGTAGCTGTCAGCATCTGAGACTACTTACCTGGCCTCCAAAAGGCCCTAATGGCCCTCAGTGCAGTTCCACCCTGGCCTGGTTCTCTCTCCACCCTCTACCATCTGATGCCATCCACACTTGTGCTGCCCCTGCCCATCCTGAGGGCTCAGACTTAACCATTTTTCCTCATCACCTTGGATATTCAAAATAAGAGTGCCTGTCCTGATTGAAAAGTTTGGATAGTAGATAGCTTTTCCATTAGAGGGTGATGGGCCTTGGGCTAGCTCTGGTTAAAGACACTGTCCTGGTGTTTGCTATCAGAATAGGGTCTGGAAACTGCAGAAAAAGACTCTTGTGATCATTTCGGATCCCTTCACTGACAGTAGGTGACAAAAGGACCCTCTGGCCCCCACTATTAATATAACTGCATTTGTGTTATGTATGTGTTTCTGTTTGTGCTCTTTGAAAATTATGTTTGTACATATATTAATATGTGTAGTTATCCATATATAATTTTATATATACATATATATATATATATATATATTCTGCACAACTCCAGTCTCACTCAGTTATCCCTCCTCTATATGTCCAAGTTCTCTTGTGAGCATCTGCAAGTGATGCCATACTCTTTCTCAATTGACTGATGGCCAGTCTCCGAATGGTGGCTCCATATGTTATGTGTAGCTGTTTGCTAATGGCCCATACCTATAGACAGCTGGCCTGGTCTTTCCAGGCCCCTTACTAAGAGTATTGTGTAAAACCTTAGAGCTTTTGAAAAATAATCGGACTTTTGGCTAAAGGAAATGAAGAAACTGCCCAAAATCTCATCAGTTAGAGGAAGCTCTCTGTGCCTAGATTTTCTGACATGAGATAACAGCCTGCATGGCTTATCCCAGCCCACAACTGTGTGCTCTCAACAGCTTCTGTTCTAATCAATTGTTGCTCTCTGAAATTCCAATGATGTGCTAACTTAGTTAATATCTCCTTTCTAAATGTGAGGGCTAAGGAGTTGGCAGTAATTCATATAATAATTAGTTTGAATCAAATTACTTTCTTTTGGAATAAAGCAAGTCAGGCCAGCCACTCTGAAAGAAGGTGAGTTTTTGTTTGGAGTCAGAAAGTCCATGCTTTTGGAGGATAAATCCTTTGGGAAAGGGGATAGAGTAAAACCAGTCAAGAGAGATAAGGTGAAGTGTTCAAGGCAGCTCTATATGGAGGACAGGGATAGGGATAAGACGTAGTAAGAGGGGAAAGAAGAACTTTTGCTTTTTCAAAATATTCCTAGGCACTGTCCTAATGTTGATACCAATAGTATATCCATACCATGGGATATTCTGCAGCCATTAAAGAAGTAAAGTAGATTTATGGGAAAAAAGAAAGTGTACCAAGACAAGTATGCCTTCTCTCACCACTCCTATTTAACATAGTATTGGAAGTTCTGGCCAGGACAATCAGGCAAGAGAAAGAAATAAAGAGTAGTCAAATAGGAAGGCAAACTATTCCTGTTTGCAGATAACATAATCCTATATTTAGAAAACTCCATCAACTCAGTCCAAAAGCTTCTTAAGCTGATAAGCAACTTCAGCAAAGTCTCAACTTACAAAATCAATGTGCAAAAACTGCTAGCATTCTTGTATACCAACAACAGGCAAGCAAAGAGCCAAATCATAAATGAAGTCCCATTTACAACTGACACAAAAAGAATAAAATATCTAGGAATACAGATAACAAGGAAAGTGAAGGACCTCCTTAAGGAGAACTACAAACCACTGCTCAAGAAAATCAGAGAGGAAACAAACAAATGGAAAACATTTCATGCTCATAGATAGGAAGAATCAATATCATGAAAATGGCTATACTGCTCAAAGTAATTTATAGATTCAATGCTATTCCCATTAAGCTACCATTGACGTTCTTTAAAGAATTAGAAAAGACTATTTTAAAATTCATATAGAACCAAAAAAGAGCCCAAACAGCCAAGGCAATCCTAAAAAAAATAACAAAGCTGAAGGCATCATGCTACCCCACTTGAAACTATACTACAGAGCCACAGTAACCAAAACAGCATGGTACTGGTATAAAAACAGACACATAGACCAATGAAACAGAATTGAGAACTCAGATATAAGACCACACATCTAAAACCATCTGATCTTCAACAATCCTGATAAAAACAAGCAATGGGGAAAGGACTCCTTATTTAATATATGGTGCTGGGAGAACTGGCTACCCCTATGTAGAAAATTGTAACCCCTTTCTTTACTCCTTATAAAAAAAATCAACTCAAGATAAATTAAAGACTTAAAGGTAAAACTCAAAACTGTAAAAACCCTAGAAGAAAATCTAGGTGATACCATTTAGGACATAGACACAGGCAAAGATTTCATGACAAAAATGCCAAAAACAATTGCAACAAAAGCAAAAATTGACAAATGGAATCTAATTAAACTTAACAGTTTCTGCACAGCAATAGAAACTATCATCAGAATGAGCAGACAACCTACAGAATGGGGAAAATTTTTTTGCAATCTCTCCACCTGATCAAAGTCTAATATCCAGAGTCTACAAGGAAACTAAACAAATTTACAAGGAAAAAAATCATTAAAAAATGGGCAAAGAACATGATACTTCCCAAAAGAAGACATTTGTGCAGCCAATAAACATATGAAGAAAAGCTCAACATCACTGCTTATTTGAGAAATGCAAATTAAAAACCACAATTAGATACCATCTCATGCCAGTCAGAATGGCAATTATGAAAAAGTCCAGAAACAACAGATGCTGGAAAGGTTGCAGAGAAAAAGGAATGTTTTTATACATGCTGGTGGGAGTGTAAATTAGTTCAACCATTGTGGAAGACAGTGTGGCAATTCCTCAAATATCTAGAAGCAGAAATACCATTTGACCCAGCAATCCTATTATTGGGTATATACCCAAAGCAATATAAATAATTCTATTATAAAGATACATGCACGCATACATTCATTGCAGCACTATTCACAATAGCAAAGACATGGAATCAACCCAAATGCCCACCAATGATAGACTGGATAAAGAAAATGTGGTATATATACTCTGTGGAATAGTATGCAGCCAAAAAGGGAACATGATCATGACCTTTGCAGGGACACGGTTGGAGCTGGAAGCCATTATCCTCAGCAAACTAACTCAGGAACAGAAAACCAAATACCTCATGTTCTCACTTATGAGTGGGAGCTGAACAATGAGAACACAAGGACACGTGGGTGGGGAACAACACACACTGGGGGTAGGAGAGGGAGAGCATCAAAAGAACAGCTTATGGATGCTGGGCTTAATACCTAGGTAATGGGTTGATCTGTGCAGCAAACCACCATGACACACGTTTACCTATGTAACAAACCTGCACATCCCACACATGTACCCCTGAACTTAAAATAAGTTGGAAAAAAAGTGCACAACGACTGCATGCTTCCATTTCTGTCTATAATTTGAAAGGTGATATATGCATGCATACATTAGAGTATATGCAGAGACTATTTCTGGAAGAAATGTTATAAATAGTGACTTTGTCTTTATGGAAGAAGCCTGGGGATAAAGGTCTGAGGTAGGATTTTTTTTTCCAGGAGCACATTTTTAATTTGTATATACTTTACTTATAAATTTTTTAAAAACTAGTTAAAGGTTTTCTAGGATTACCCTTACCTTTGAGAGAGGTGGTGTAGAGGAGGGGACTTAGGGAATCTGAGGAGTGAAGAAATAGATAATCTGTTTGTCTTTCTTTCTTCCAAGAAAGCTCAGGGCTTGTGTATCCCCGGACTCCTGTGGTTTTGGAGCCTCAGCTGGACCATGGTTCAGTAAGCTCATCTGGGCTGACCCAGAACTGAACTACCATTTGTAAACTCTTTCTATGGGAGAAAGGCAAATGTTCCACAGAACATATTAAACCAAACTGCCTTCATCCATCCTTTCTCAACTTCTTATTAGCTTTAAAAAAAAAAAACCCTAAAATAAAAACAAAACTTCAAATTTAACCTAGGAGGCCTGAGCCATCCATATTCTAATTCATTTCCTCAGCAGTGAAAAAAACCCTATATGCATTTCTGTAGTTGGCTACCTTCTGGATATTTTGTTTGGTTTATTTATTTGAGAAGATACCCTCTGTTTTGCACTTTCTTTTCTAACTAACTTCTATGGTTTTGTTTTGAGGAAAGTTGTTGCTTTTTCCTTGCTTGCATGCCTGGTAGAGAGCTATTGGCATTTGGTGCATATCTGTTCACTTGGTAAATTAAGGGTGGACACCAAAGCAGATAGGTTACTATAAGTTGTCACAGGTAAAACTTTGGTCTGAGAAGACACTGTAGAAGAGATTTCAATCTAGCACAGTGCTTCTCAATTGTGGCATTATTGACATAATTCTTTGCTGAGATACTGAGATAATTCTTGGTTGTGGACCACTGTCCTGTGTATTACAGGCACTTAAGCAGCATCCCTGACCTCTACTCACTAAATGCCAATAAGAACCACTAGTTGTGACAATTTAAAAAATGTCTCTAGGTGGTGCCAAATGTCCCCTGGAGCAAAACCATCCTATTGACTAAAGGAATTCATTCAGGATGGTGGCAAAAAAGTAGTAGAGAAAGTTTATAAAAAATAGTCTCAAACCCTTTTGGAAGGCCTAAGGATCTTTTCATAGTTTCAGTGAAAGTCTCCACTGAAAGCAGCCTAAATCCCCCTTACATTTAGTTAATAAGTAAAGCAAATAGCTAGGGCATGTGGGGGAGCTTACCTAACTTGTTTACTCATGTGGTCTTAAAACTAACCTTTGAGCTGGATGTCATCCCTCTCGGGGGGAGGTTGACCAGGGATATAATCCTCTAGTGGTGTTTGCTTTGGGCACTGGAACCTGTGCTTTAATCTTTCACTCTAGTGGTGTTGACTCAAGCCTTTGTCAATTAAACTTTACTAAATAAATGTGAGTCTCACTGGCTGGTGGGGGCTGGTGGTTGCAACTGTTCACAGCACTCTCCAGGGTGCCTATAAGGCACCTGGTCACCCTCAGCCAGACTGGCAAACCATAAATCTGTGTGTCAGTGTACTTAATTCATCAACTCAACTTTATTGTTGAGTCAGGGTCTTCAGGACAGGTACCCACAGGTGGCGACCCTGACAGCTGACAATCACCAATTTAGAGTGATTTTGGATTTTCTATTCAGTGTCCAGAAATTGGTCTCTATGTTGAGATAATTCTTCAAATACTGGAAACCTAGAGATGTGACCCAGCTAAAGCTTCTGAAAACTTACATAGTGTCTTTGTGAAGAATTAGAAAAAGTACCTGGATAAATTAGAAAAGGGCTAGATAAGGAAGGTTAGGCCAGGTTTCATTCTCCATTTCTCCTCTCTTATTCCTGCTGTGTACATGAGGTGTTCTAAGTCAAGGGTCTTGCCGTGTTGATAGAGAACAGGTTCTTGGAGCCAGTACCCAGGTAGGGGATGAAATGCAGACTTGATGGCCTTACCATTAAATCAGCTATACCATGGCCACTTCCAAATAGTGTAACAAGAAAACATTTCTCATTAATATGGAAAAGGAGATTGTCCCTAAGAATGTATTCATTTAACAAATGTTTATTGAGGACCTACTATGTACTGGGAGGAAAAATGCTTCCCTCTACCTCTTTGCCCCCTTATTTCTGCCTAAAGTATTATATTTCTGTGTTTGGTATTATTTCTTTTTACATTTTTCAGAATCTGTCTTACTAGCACAGTCTTCTTCCCCGCCCCCCCCCCACCTCTTAATTGACTTCTGAAGGGTCAATTGCAATTAAAAGGAAGAGGAGTGATGAGAGGGATGGCTTGAGTTTTCAGAATGTTCCTTAGATGTGTGTCAGGGCTCCACAAGTGCACATCATGCTGGGCTGCATTCTGGAGGCCCTCCTTGGCTCTGACTGTATTTATAAGTTATTCTACAGTGTGCTAGCACATCAGTTGCCAAGGGAGTTTGTAGAATCTGCTTCCCTGGAGGTATTCAGAAATACAACAAGATGGCAATCTCCATGATGATTTCAGTGCAGTCCTGCTGATTAGAAGGGACAGGCTAGATTTTTCTGTCAAGGTTTGTTTCATTCTTGAGTGTCTTAGATGGAAGAGTTTGCTTTTTGGTGCAGGAGGGAGGGACATAAAGTGAAACTCTATGATGTTATTGGCATAGCACTACACACATCCTGGATATTTATGTTTATGTATTTATTTATTTTGAGATGGAGTCTTGTTCTGTCACCCAGGTTGAAGTGCAGTGGTGCAATCTCAGCTCACTGCAATCTCTGCCTCCTGGGTTCAAACAATTCTTCTGCATTAGTCTCCCGGGAAGCTGGCCCGCCACCATGCCCAGCTAATTTTTGTATTTTTAATAGAAACAGTGTCTTGTGATATTGGCCAGACTGGTCTAAAACTCCCAACCTCAAGTGATTCACCTGCCTCAGCCTCCCAAAGTGCTAAGATTACAGGTGTGAGCCACCACTCCAAGCTCATCCTGGATAAACAGAGAGTAAAACATACCGTTTTCATGCTTTTATTGTTTTCAGAGTACTTCGTTGTGCCATGTGAGGGCCTTTTAGGTCCCTATGGCACAGAGGAGTCAGTGAGGTACAGAATTATTTAATTATCAGTTAGAGTGACAGCCTGGCTTGACACAGAGCAGAAACAGTGTTCCTAGATGTCTGTTCTCCAAATGCACGCTCTTTTCTCTTGACCCTGTTGTTTCTTTGTGTTTGCGGTTTTTGCTCTGTCATGTAGGGCTCATAGAGTTATAACAATCTGGGGAACCTATGTAAGATAAGTATGTCCTATACAACTTTTATACCAGGCATCCTATATTTTATCTGGCCATCCTGGCCCCAGGTAACCCTATGGAAGGAACTTGTAGGTCCATTTTACAAGGGAAGGAACTGAGGCGCAAAGAGATTAAATGACTTTCCCACAGTAACATCTGAGATGGAATGGCAGGCACCTGACTCCAAAGTCCCCACATGGTCTTTGCTTGTCTGGGAGATGGAGCTCCAAGTAGAACTGGTTAAGGGGTTGAATGCATTGGTGGGAGATGTGATGAGTTTGAGACTGTATTGGGAGCATCTGGCACATGGTGGCCATCAACCAGTTTTTAGTCTCTGTCTCCCTTCCTTCCCCTGCATCAAATTGGAAATTTCCTTCAGACTCTCACACAGAGAGTCCTCTACAAACACACTGAATTGCAGCCCCCATAGGAAAGCAGAAGGAAGAAGGATGATGTTGGATTAGATCCTGCCATGTGATTTATTAGGACAGTCTGAGGTCTCAGACAGCTCACAAAGAGGCCCTGGAATGCAGCCACAGATCCCTGGAAGAGACTTTACAGGTACCCTGTTGGAGAGTGGAGAGTGAGAGGGATTGTCTCAAAGAATAGGAGCAGAGATCAGAGACAACGCAAACTTGAAAAGTCAGAATGGGTAGGACCTGGGAAGAAAAACAAAATCTTACCTTTACAATAGCTTCAAGGACCACAAATTTAAGGGTCTCCAGAGGCCTTAGGAGAGAGAGAGTCAAGGAAGTGCTGGTCCAGGATACAACCCTTTCAAAAGAAACCATGCCTGTGGTCTCACTGCTGTGGGCAGTGGTGGTGATGTCAACGTTTGCTCTTCTTGGGCTCCCTCCATGCCAGTGAAAACATGGAAGAACTTTTACCTGTCCAGAAGGAGGGGAAGTCGAAGGAAGGAGGGAAGAGGATGGTCCAGTGCAGGCACAGCCTGTTTGGAACCTTCTGTGCCTGCCTGGACTACCCTCTTCCCTCCTTTCTCCTTCCTTCAGCTGCCCCTCCTTCTGGACAGGTAAAAGTTTCTCCCATCTCCTCCTGGACTTCCTCATAGCTGTAGGCTTCCATTTTCCCAACCTCTATTATTCAGAGGAGTTCAGTCCAGCCATGTCTGTGCCAGAGCTTTGATGCCCCACCTAACAGCCACACAAAGGGCCCTGCCATGAACAAGGCCTCTCTCACTAAGAAGCCTTAATTTTTTAAAATAGTCATGCCTCTGCCATAAAGTCAGTGTTCTGGCAGCCAGCCACTAAGCAGAACCTACTAGATTTCTCTAAAATAGATACTGAGTCCTCCTTCCTCAACCATGGTCAAGTCCTAAGGTTCCTTCTCAAAGGCAGGCAGTCCTGGGTTTTACGGCAAGAAGTACTTCCCATGTGCAAGGTGCTCTGGGGGAGGGCTAAGTATGGAGGGCCATGTGTGCAGCTCTTTAGGATTTCAGGTGAGCTGCCTTTTCTTGCAGTTTAAGAAGAAAACAGCCAGCCATTCCCTCCTTGTAATAAATGCATTGCATATTTGAAGACAGTAGTTAGGTCATTCTTTGAGCTTTCTCATCTCCAAACAAAACAACTGTGGCTCCTATAATCTTTCTCTGGAAAATTGTAAGGCCCATATGCAGAGGAAAAGCAAAACAAAACCACCTGATAATGAAGGCCTCCTATCTCTAACAATGTCTCTTTTGAAACACAGTCTGCACTTGAGTCTTTAATTACATGTAAATTCAGTAGCTTCAAGTGTCTGAGTCAGTGGGAGAACAGGTGCTGCTCATCAGGCCCCTTGGAAGTGCTCGTGCTGCAAGGCCGGGTGTTTGCACTTGGCAGAGGCTAGGATTTTCCTCTCTTTGGATTCATTTTGGAGCATTAAAAGAAGCATCCATGAGTGACCCAGGAGCACAGT